TTTAATTTTCTGTGGCTTTTCTTTATTTCTCAACAAAATTTTCAAGGGCCAGACTTCATCCAAAGATACTATGTGTCCACCGAGCAACCAGCAGTAAAACCGAATTTTGGTACTTCTTTGGAAATGTTCGCCCAAAGTGTTCATATGAAAACCAAACAAGAAGTGAAGGCTGACTTCGCCATTAATTTGGCCACTTAAGCAGGGGTCACACTGCTTATGTATTGTACAAAAAAAAAATCTGCAAGCAGATTCGAACGCAAGCAGGACATCCGTCTTTCGAATGCCGCATATCCTCTATAAAAATTATTTTTGACTTTTTATTGAAAACGTGTTGACTTCTTGTTGACTTCGATTACTTTCTTCTGACATTGACTTTCTGTTGACATGGTGAACAGAAAGTTTGTTGACTTTGTGTTGAAACTTTTCCGATGATTTTCTTCAACCTGAGTCAAAAGAAAAGCGGTTGACTTTCTATTAAATTCATGTTGATTATTTTTGTTGACTTTCTGTTGACAGTGTCATCAGAATGACTGCAGACGTTTTGTTTACTTCATGTTGAAAATGTTCAGCTGACTCTCTGTAGCCACTGTCAATGGAAGAGCTACAGACTTTCTGTTGACTTTTTATTGAACATTGTACAGATCGACTAGCTGTCAAAAGTCGCTAAGTTTCTCAATAGTCTGACAAGGTGAGAACGGGAAGCAGTTTCAGTTGTCCCGCCTCCAGCACGAGCCTACTACCCTTGACAACGCTTCGGCGTTCGTGCACCTCGAGCGTGCGCGTGCAGTCAAAGCACGACGGAAGGCATAGGGCGCGTGCTGGAGGTCAGCCGTTCGAAAGGCATGCCTAGTCGTTCTGACTTTGTAAGTGACTATAGTGACTTTAATGACCATATTAATTAGTCAACTAGTAAAGAAAAGCAAAGTAACTATTTGAAAGTGAAGAAACTGCCTTGACTCGCTTCGTCCTGAGTGATGCTATGCAGAGAAGTGATGAAATTTCTTCTAGGAGCCGTTTTTGAGGATGTTGTTTTAGTGACTGCGCCGAGTTATTATTAGTTGCACAAATGCTGTTTAGTAAGAGATATCGTCCATGAGCTTCGAAACACTGTTTTCCTTTTGAGAGGATCGAATACTTGAAATCTTAATAACTGCTGAGGTGGTCAACGGCCAAATGATTACCTTCAATATGTAGGCCATATAAGGCTCTGCAGCAGTCCATGGGACCGTGATTCAGGTGTTCAGTGCTTCATGGTGTTTGTCTTCGTTTCTAATGTGTAGTTGTGGGATGTATGTAGTTGTGCCTTCAGATACCACAGAGACACCATTCACTAACAAAATGAAAAAGAAAATCGACGTTATTTAGCTGCAGCCAATTTAGAGGAGACTGGAAAGCCATAGTAAGCTTCCAAAACTTTTTTGAATAAATAGTTAAGCTATAAAGATTTTTTTCTTTTTAATCTTCTGTAGCTTTTCAGCAGAAAAGCTGTAGCATTTCGATTAAAATGCTACAGCACGTTTCACGTTAAAACGTGAAGGAGTGTGCAAGCAGGATGCTTAAGAAATCGTGAGGCAAGACAACTTCGTCCTATGTCGGGCGGCGGTTCGCTCCCGTCCGTTCTTTTGCGAAGGTAATGGTTCCCTCCGTCAAAGTTTGCTTGTGTCCTTTACGTGGGCCCCGAGCAGGCTCATCATGTGGGATCATACGGCCACGCACATGCTCTCTTGGGTGTCGGTCAATTGCTCAACTCCTCCGCCGCTGTTCACGTCCCTAAAACAGGAAAGGGAAGTATACGAGGGCGCGGCAGAACAGATGAACAAGGAACAGGCACATTATTGGCAGGTGGCGTATGACGTCAAGTCCAACGAGTACCGAGGTTCCAGAAAATCGGAGGAGGCGAAGAGGAGAGCTGTAATGTTTGCATGGTAGTGTCCAAACAAAAATCGGACTGCCGGACTTAACTTCCACCTAAGAGGACGGTATTTTGTCGCCTCATGATCTTGAAGTGTCCTGTTTGGACAGCCAGTGACATGGTGTCAAGTTTCTATCTGCCGGACGCAGAACGGATGCCCCGCAAAGCTTTCCCGTCAAATAGCACCTCAACTCACGGCAATGTGTTGCGACATGATCTGTTTATGGCCCTTGGATTGTATAGTCTGTAGAGGTCTCCTATGGCGGTGCGGAATGCTGAAGTCCGCCCAAAGTCAGCGCACTTGTTTTTTATTGAAGTTGTTTTGCAGGTCAACACTGTTTTTGATAGAGTGAGACCCCTTCCGAATGGGTTGACCTGTTGGATGACCTTATAGGCATGAAAGAGTCTTAAGGATCGCTGCGGCCTCCAACGAGGGCACGGGGTATTTGAGCCCCTGCTTCTTGCGCGTGTTTTGTGTGTATTGCTTGTTTTGTGCAAAATAAAGAGAAACAAAAAAAAAAACTACGAAGACACTTAAAGGGATACTGAACTGAAATTTGGATTTCGCAAAGTAAGGCTGCAGAAGTGTTGAGCGGGACGCTACGAACCCCAAAACATCACTCGTACATCGATATCTCAAGCGGATGGCCGTACTTTTGGAAAAGAAGGGTGCGATCAAGCGAGTTCTTTGACGTAACTGTCCTCCGGGAGAATTTGAGAATGAGGAGAAGCGGCCTCGCTTCTCTCTTCCTCGCTTCGGTTCACCAGCTTGACGGGACGTATCGAGGAGGAGAGAGAATGGGAAATCGTGACGTGCCTTGTCTCGTCGGCCTCGTCGGCCAGTTCATTCGCGCACTTCTTTTCCAAAAAATATGGCGATCCGTTAGAAATATCACCGTATGAGTGATATTTTTTGGTTTTGCAGATTCCCGCCTATCCGCCCGGCCTTGTTTTAACTGAGCTCGAAATTTCGGTTCAGTATCCCTTTAATACCCTAGTTACACGGGAGCTTTCAACTGCCATTGAGTCAACGACAGTTGACTCAATCGCGATCGGCCGGAGTTACACGGCGGCGCCAACTGTCATCGAGCCGCTAATGACAGTTGAGTTCAACTGAGCTCCCCTACCTCAGTTCAACTGAACGGACTTCCCCAACTGAGGTAAAATGGCGCCTGTCCGCGGAACCGCTGCCGCCGACCATCGTTTCCGAGGCACTTACTGTTTCGGAATGCAGGGGGAGGCGTCTAAAAAGAATCGTAGCAGCAAAATATCCGGGAAGGAATAGCTTTAGGCGTCCGAGCTGCCGCTAAAACGATCCCGGCTAGCCGGCAAGCCACCAAACGAGCGAAGATGGCGGCGGGACCAGCTGTGTGAATGGACAGATAGTAATGGGTGCACCCATCGTAGCGGGTAGAAGCTAGCTCCACCTAGCCTAAAATATGCGCAACTTAGCCCTGAATCTGCTTTGGTACTGATGTAAACGCCGCTAAAAAGGAACAAAGTATTGAAGATAGTGTACGATATACTTATAGCAAATAAAATATGTTTCTCCGAGTAGATTACTTTAACAATTAGACTGGTCACGTGGCACAAGAACTAGTTTCGTTTTAGCTTCAACTGGGTTCTAGAGAGCCGTGTAGCACCATCTCAGTTCAGTTCAGTTCAATCACAGTTGGGGCCGGTAACTGTGATTGAACTCAACGACAGTTCAAAGCGCCCGTGTAACTAGGGTATAAGACTGCTAACGTGTCGGAATGCGAAAGCATTCGTATACGTAGCATATTCCTACAAACTGCGCGCCGCGCTGAGCTCGGCCGTGCGGCCTCTCCGAAGTCTGCTCGGGCTGGCTCTGCTGGCTCTTCAGCCGGCCGTTTCCTCTCACCGGCTGCCGGGCCGCTGTGCCATAGAGAGGGCTCCTCTGTGGGGTGGCGTTCCTTGGAACTACGCCGCACGCCAGCCAATGATGTGGCTGTTAGAGACTACAGGCTTCACTCCATGGAACAGGGAAATTCAAGTGCCGTATGGCCCGGATTCAAAAGTTAATAACGCCGGTTCGCTCCATCGGAGATTTAACGCTTCCACATTCAAAAAGATGTGTTGTGACATGCTGGAAAACACTCGCTTAATAGTCTAAATGAGCTGGGTTCTATTCCCGACTGGCGCAATCTCTTTTCTACTGCAATAACACCTCACCATCCCCCCCCCCCCCCGCTCCCCCCCCCCCCCCCCCCCCCCCCCCCCCACGCACACACACACTCAGAACACACCAGTGCCGAGCCTCACAGCTTCGCTTTTATCTGGATTTCAAGATACACCCACCGCCTGACCAAAGTTCGTTTCATGTTAAAATATTTTTTCTGGATGATTACTCGACACCTCTGGGCGTATTTAAGCAAAATAATTAGCGTCATTCACTTCGAATAATTAACTAAACTCTGTATTTTTTATTACATACAATACCTATATCTATAGAATGTTAGCAACAAGTAATAAAGTTTTTCGGCTAATGACTGACGGGATAATAAATTTGATTACTTTGGTAAGTTCCGCATCTGAAAGACTAGGCTCAATTATATTTTAGACCGAAGACTCCATAATTATGTTAAAGATGGAGGTTGTGAATTTGAATCAAGCTATGCAGTTATTATTATTCTTGATTAACGGCTTTGTCGTACAATTTACAATTGTTCGCTTTCGTGATGATTTCAACAAGCATAAATAGCTCAAAAATTGAGCAGTAGCGGGGTGAAATGCAGCTGAGAACCGCAATAAAATGAAGAGTCTGTGGCACATGTTCCATGTTCGTTTCGATTGGTACGACACGAGTCGCCATCATTAGATGTCTGTATTATTTTTAAATATATTCCTTATTGTCAGCCGCCAAGTATCTCCTTACTCTGAGGCGAGCTGCCAATTGGTAAAATACCGCTTTGAGCGATTTTCGATTGTGAAGAAATATAAATATATATTAAATTGTTGAACCGGTTGGCCAAATGACAACATAGAATGCCTTCTACTTATTCTTGTTGAGTGATTGTTTTGTTTTAATGTTATCGAAGGAGCTGAGGACGTATTATTGATTTTCCAGACCTATAAAGGGTTCAGTGCTGGCTCGTGCACTTTGGATTGCACGCTGGGTAACCGTTATGTCAGACTGCCCAATGGGACATGCAGCAGGACAGGAACATTGGTAAGTAACTTCGAAATTAGCTTGTTTCGTGCACCTGCTCTCTACCGCATACTACTGTGGTGGGTCAGCTCTCCGATTTAAGAAATTAAAAAAATAAAGTAATTTCCCCACTGCTTATAATAGCTTGTTCAGAGCTTGGGGGTTTCTCTAGAGCGGAAGTGGTTAATGCCCCTTTCCGGTGAAAGCCGGTGGCGTCTACACGCAAGAAACACACGTGATCCTAGGGCGCGCTGTCGCTCTCCCCGTCGCCGTCGCCCTTCTCACAACCACTGTATCTGTCGCAAGATGCGCTGTCTCTCTCTCTTTCTTTATCAACCCCCCCCCCCCCCCCCCCCGCCCCCACTCCCGCCACCGTGCACACTGCAGTAGCTCTGAAACCGCAGCCGCAGCGGTCGCATCGGTGGTTTGAAAAGAGCTTCGGTGCGTTTACAAAACGTTCTATAATAATACATTTCTACAGATAAGCGCGTCTAAATATCCATTTCTTGTCAAAAGCGAATGTTGTGAAAGCGTTGCGCAAAGGGATATGTCTCCTGAAATATCTACAATTATTCTGCTAAAAGTAAAGCTCCTAAAGGAAGTATCCTAAAGCACATCGACTAAAAGAGAATCTTCGAAAGCACATCGTTCGGCAACAAAACAGCTGCACCTATCAATTGCCAAACGCTTTGTGTGGTCGTCTGCAATTTAAAATTTCGTTTTGTTTTGTCATCAGCACGGGGCTTCCTCCGGAAATTAAGTGATTGACTGTTCACTTCTTCCTTACGCAAGTTTTCACGCCAATGGATTTCTGCGTTCATCCTAGTCCGCCATCCATCGCTATAGCGGAAAAGCATATTTTTATACCACACGAGCCAAGCAGATAACTTTAGACGTGCTCGGCAAGCTAAAGTAAGAAAGCGTCAAGAGTGCTAGCACCCATTCTATCATCGGAAGGGCGGCAGCGCTGAACGGTGTCAGCAAACGAGCCATATACAAGTGGGCAAGTGAGTGCAGCGCGAGGGGCTAGGTGGTCTCACCAAAAAGTTTATCTCGGGAAGCCAAGGGCTGCAGTAAAAACAAACTTGGACGATTTTGACCAGGGAGTTTTAAGAATTGTTCACGGTTTTTTTCCGTGATAATAAAATTCCGGCGGTCGCAAAGATTATGCGTAGGTTCAACGACGACGACAACCTACCCAGTGTGTCTAAAGCACCCCTCCATCGTGTGCTCAAGAAGCTGGGCTTTAGATTTAATCGCCGCTTTCGCAATTGCCATCTGATCGAGATAGCGAACGTTGTGCCGTGGCGGTGCCGGTACCTGCGAGAGATACAGGCGTTTAAAAAACAGGGACGGCCCATTTTCTACACTGACGAGACGTGGGTGAACGCCGGGCACACCCACTCGAGAGTCTGGGCCGGCGTGACCGTGATAGGTGCGCGTGAGGCCAAGCACTCCGGATTTTCCCCCGGGTTGAAAAACCCCAGCGGCAGAGGTGGGAAGTTGAACGTCACCCACGTTGCCAACGAGAATGGGCTTCTTAACGGTGGGGGGGGAAGTGTTACGCGCAAAAGAGGCAAGCGGCGTCTTCCATGAAGAGGTGGACAGGAAGCAGTACAAAAAGTGGTTCGTCGACACACTGTTCCCTCTTCTGCTTCCATCGAGTGTGGTAGTGATGGATAATGCTCTCTACTATTTGGTGAAACTGGAGAAAGTGCCGAAGATATCAACTCTCAAGAATGACATTCAGGCATGGCTGTCAGCAAAAGGAGAGGCCTGGAGCCCGGACATGATCAAGGCAGAGCTGTTGAAGATTGTGGTCATGACCAAGCGAAAGCACGACGGAGAAAAGTACCGCATTGACACGATTGCTGCTGCAGCCCGCCACACTGTCTTAAGGCTTCCACCTTGTCAGTTGAACCGATCAAGTTGGCATAGGGCGACCTGAAGGGTTATATTGGGTCCCTTAGCAAAGGAATTCAAGATGTCCCAACTGGGACTTTTCGTGGATGAAGCTATTAATCAAGTTACTGCAGAGGAATGGGCTTATTTTGTGCGGCACGGGGTTGATGAAGACGCGGCACTGAGGGAGGTTGACCACATCCTGGACGACGTTTTCGATAGACAGGAGCGTATTGTGATCGCCCGGGATGTATCTTCCACGGAATGGAGCACTGATATCTCCGACAGTGTCCTGCGGTGTTGGCCACTGTAACGGGGGCTATTTCGTAGTGTATTGAACTTCAGACGAATCAAGAAAGAAAATTTTTTTAATGACCCAAATGCCGATACTAACGCTGAACCAAGTTTTGCTAAAACTTGCTAGCGTAGGTGGGCATGAGTTGTTTCCAAAATCTATCAAACTAAAAATATTCCTTTTATGCGAGATAAATTACTGTGAAAATGGTCACCTTATAGCATTCAAAGCTAATTTAATGAAGAAACAATCGCCTTTATCTGAGTTTCCATTTAGGTAGACTGGGCTTATTTGAAAACTACTCGTCATTAACACATCACTACCATGTAAAGCCATGCTGCAACTATGATAACTGTGCAATGCAAGGGCAAGGTGCCAACAGATTACGTTCAAATAGCTTTATTTTGTTTTGTCCAACACTATTGTTGGCCCTTAGAAACGTGTATATTTACCCGATTATTGCCCTATTTTTGCACTAGCACTGAAAGACCATTGTGGACTGAGGCCTTCTGAATCTTGCCAGGTACAAAAAAGCATGCTGCACTGTGTGAGTTCATAGAAAATGCAAAACCACTCTGAAAAAATAACGACAGGATATTTTGGAACAGTGTGTGTTCAGCTTATGTTGCTTATCGTGTTGACCTTCTGTGCATACATAAATTCCCATGTTTCTAAGTCAAATGGTCTACTAAATTGATTACACAATGTTTACGGATTTCCCAGGTCCTCTTCTTTCAGTGCTGGTCACAATCCACATCAGACAGGAATTCCTGGCGCTCAGAGGGGTCACGGGACCCCCTGAGGTCACGTGACCCCCTAAGGTAACGTGACCACCCTAAGGTCACGTGAGCGCCTGAGGTCACGTGATCCCTTGAGGTCACGTGACCCCCCTGAGGTAACGTGACCCCCTTAAATCACGTGACTCCCCTGACGTGACCTCAAGGAGTCACCTATCCCTCAGTGCGCTTCCATCCTCCTCCTCAAGAGCTGCGCTCTAACCGGCGTTACAGGGAATTGTAGACGGCTTTCATTTTTGAAATATTGTATGTTGTTTTTTGCTAATTTATTTCTTTAATGTCTTTTCTTTTAATGCCTCTCTAGACATCCTTCGATTGCGTGGTTGTGACGTGATTTGATTTTGTCCATTGCTGCTTCTCTTTATTGTCTTTATTTTTTTTTCTATTAATGCAATAAACTGTATTGTATGTTCAATATTTTTTTTAGTGCTGCATGCATGTGACGTCACAGCTTCATGTGTTGGCACAGCATGTGCCAACGCATCCACAACACATTGCGTTCGTCTCGGCGTTTACCAGATATGTTCAATACATGCTCAAATTTGTAAGGAGGACGAGAAAAATTTATACGCTAAATAAATTATTAAATCCACTGTGGCACGAAGAAGGAGGTGGGTTTAATGTCGCTGGATGGCACGAGCCACCGCAAACTATACTGGGATGTTCAGGAATACACCAAGTACTTCTAGTGACGCGTTATTTTACTGCGTTTAGAAATGGTTCTTTTTCGCTTCAGAGTGCTTTGTAAGCCCAGTACAAACGAAGGCGCAGTCAATGAACCTTGGTTTCTCTCGGTGACGCGCGTACGTGTAAGGCAAACTCTATACGTAAATGCTCCATTGTTTTTTCTTTAAATCTCGAGGTTAACAACGATCGATTTTTCCTCTCGTGATCTCGCCAGTGACCACATAAAAAAGACGAAAGTGGACTTGTATACTTTGTTCACACAAAACTGTAAAGCAGTCGAGTTGTCTTCGTGTTGTCTTTCCTTTGTTTTACTTTCATAACACGATTTTTGGGTTGTGGGGATATTTATACAGCGTTTAGTTGGTCAGCCATCAAAGTTGGGACGAATCACACGCTGTAGATGAGCAATTTAGTCACTGCAGTACAACCGCTAGCCTGGGGTCTTTAACGTGCACCACGCAGTAGTGATACACGACCGCACGCCGGTACGATGCTCATCCAGATCGAAACGGGCAGGGGTGGGGCTCGAGCCCAGGATCCCTGGTTTCTGCAGCGCGAGCTTTCGCTCCACGCGTCGTACAAATTTCCAATAACGAGTCGATAAGTGTTCCGCAGGGTTTGTTTTTTCAAGCATTATCATTATAACAAAACCTGTTACACATTAGTCCTATAAGTAGTAGTAGTGTAACTTTAGTAACTATAGCGTCATATAGTAATAATAATATTTTTTTTCAATACTGATGATAATATAACATTACATAAGTCAAACTATTATCATTTAGGAAGTGTTTCGAGAGAAAATTTGAATCTATATGCTTCAATCTTGATCGATGATTCAAAATTTTATCTGAATGAAGAACCTATGTCTCGTTAAAAAACGCTCTTATTGGCAGACTATATGTTTGAGTTTCTGTCGTGCACGAATACATTAAAAAAAAAAAAATAAAGCGCCGATAAAGCCGAGGTAGATTGTGAAAAAAAATAAATGAAGACATTCGTTTAGTTGTTTCTAATATTTTCAAACAACGTTGCGACTAACTTCCTTTTCCACACAGTCATGCAAGCCGGAAGTCCTTGAAGTACTGGTGAAATGGAAGTTGGATTTGGAAGAGATGGTGAAACCTAAAAAATAAGCTCCGCACGGTTCTTCTAAGTGAGACTATCCGGTGCCTTGGTTGCCCGAAAGTTTGTGACCAGAAATAAAAAAATAAAGTAAATATGTACCGGACCTCTAATCTGTTTGAGCGTCATTGGTAAGAACAAGCTCTTAGTTTTTCTTATGACGACATCCCCCGTTATTCGCCTGTTGGAGAATAATCTTACGGTGCCTCGAACGTGTCTTCGACCGGTGTGTATAGCACCCTGTTCCGCCCATGCATCGCAAATGGTCCGGAAGGGACAGCAAATTGCGATACAGGAGACGCCGTGTCACGCCGTTGGACGTTTCGTTCACTGTTTGTCGTATTAGGTCTGGCGAAAAGTAGAAGAGAACGCAATGGACCCTTTTCAGAAGTCTTAGTAACCTTGTGCAGTCCCAAAAGCTCCAATATCTGCGCTCCAATGGCGGGGATAAGAGATCATACTCGGTTAAATCAAGGCCGCTCGATTTCGTGAATCAAAGGTGACGTAAAAGGACCCACATTTTTTCCCCTTTAGGCTTCATGGTTTCGAAGACGTTCGATTTTTCTGGTGTGGAGAAACTGTGTAGTGCCGCCATTAGAGCGTCGGGCTGGGTCCTGCATAGGGCGGTTAGACTGTCTTTCGGAAAGGGTGTATTGTCGCTGAGCAGAGCAGGGTAGCTAAACTCGTGGAGCAAAACATTCTTCGCTTTTTGATGTAGCGGGGGGAGTGACCAAAAGAACGCCGCAAAGTTACCTCCTCCCTGCGCGCGCTCAACTTCGCAACTTTTGACGAAAAATCCCCCGCGATCCCTAGGCGGTGCACGAGAGCACGAGACAGCGCGGGGAGGCGAGCGTTCACGCCACTCGCTGTACGTTGTCTTTGAGCCCTCTAGTACAGTGTACCTCTAGCGCCGACAATCCCGTCATGCCTCGCCCAGGCGAGGAGTGAGAGCAGACGACGAGAGTTTGTCTGCTACGATGAGGCATTCGCACAGCGGAACTGAAAGAAAAAGTTGGATTTCTGCTCGAAATCGCGTCTCGCGGGCCACAAACTCATGCGCGAGCTTGAATTGTAAGCGTCTGATATTTCAAGAAGGGAGGAATCGACGGCCCGTGTTTTATTTGCAAAATTTGAGTCGTTTTGTAGCCGTACAGACGCTGAAACCTACCAGTGTGTAATGAAAGGGACAACCACAGAGGCCGCGGGATCTATCATCATTTGTGTATGGGTGAAAAGTGGAACATTTTTCGACAAAGCTCCCACAGCAGAAACCTGTGACGCATTCACTCAGCGTCCGGGAAGGCTAAACATGGAGACGGTGCCCGAGACTCAAGCAAAGTCATATTTGAACGGCAGCTATCTTGCCCCGTCATATTTTGTTTTGAGAAAGCTCTCGTTCTCAATGCCCTCACCAGGGAAATAAAAAGTCTTACGAAACGTATTGCTAGATGTTCCAAAGAACTAGATTTAAGCCGTATCCTTTCAGTGGTTCACTCATAATACTATGCTTAAAACGAAGCAACCTCTTGCCCGCACAGTGCCATCATTTTCCTCAAGTGTATGCTGTTTTGTAGTCAGCTGGTTTCGGAAACTTACGCGTCTGTAGATATCTCTGACAGCCGAGTTGCTTAAGTGGAAGTCATCGCAAATGTAAGTTCCACGTTGCAGCAACCAATGTTTATATAAACGATGGCAGCGACTGCACTCTCGCATTCCCACCCATCACGTGGAACAAAGAGGTGCTAGTTTCGGTTAGAGGTCGGTACTTTTCTACAACATCTATGGCGACAGCATGTCTGCACTCGGTGCCTTCGGCGAGTTCGTTCGGGGCCTGTTTTCCGTGCAGCACTCGGCGGGTGTAATGCATTGGAACTATCACAGTGCAAGTCTGGATCGCGAATCGAGAGCCCGTCACTGGCCTCACCGGCGGCCATTGCTTGACGACAGGCAATACGCCGCGTCCTGTCTAGTTCTCCCTTCGTTTTCGTCCTTGTTGTTTTGGCCTATTACACCATGAGGCAATACACGCAATCCTAAGGGAGAAACACGCAAACATTGGAAGCTTGTACGTGGTGCTCGAGGGCGAGCACTTTATGACGTGCTGCGATGATTATGTCAGGTTCTTGAAGATTAAATTGACATTCGTCAAGCGTTTGAACATCGATTTAAACAAAATTGGCCGGAGCACGATTGACTTACCGACGTCGCTTGCTTCGGTTGCTAAATAAATGGCACGTTCAGCGACTGAACGACACGCTCCGAGTTTCAGTTTGTCCCGGAAGCCCTCACAGCAGTTCAAAGAAAAAGCTTTCACTATGAAGCACTATGTACAAGCGGTGAAAACGATGCGAATGTCCCCAGTAAAGGCATTCTAACTTATTGTTTGCTGAGCTTTGATGACTCCGAAATCACGGATCACTCCACAATAACTCTCGGTAGCCCTTGTGTCATTAAACACAACACGGTTAACGCCCAACAAAGTCACCCTCGACCTTCAACCACACAACATTTAGTTAAACAAGATTGGTGTTCTAACGCGTTAACAGTTAATATTGCCCACAATATTAACTGTTATTTGCAGAAACACGATATAAGTTTCATGGTAGAGAACAACCTACTAACGTAATAAAATTGAGTTTTTCCGTTTGTCCTACAGCATGCATAAGATCGTGTCAAGCGATGACTGCCGGTGGTGCCGCTCGACCCCAGCAACACAGGCCTCTATCCACGATCTAGCCTCCTAAGAAATCAGTGGTGCCTGTGCTATTAGACATAAATCGTTTATTTGCATAGGTACACCCATACCTGCCGGATGTCAGGACGAGGTGCAAAACCGCGCATCCGGCCAATATTGAAGCCGGTTTTCGGCCGATATTGCCTCGACACTCGCCAAGAAGCAACGTGCTGTTTCGGCGACTCGTTTGTGTAATTTATTTGTTCAGTCATATTATTGGGTCCCGGGCCACTGTGTACACCCCAAAAAAGAAATGTACTGTGGTAATTACACCTTGACGAGAAGCAGGCACGTAGCCAGAATTTTGTTTAAGAGGCGTGGGGGGGGGGGGGGGGGGGGGGCGGGGGCGTCGATGACAAAGTGCTCTATGAGGGGGAGGGAGGAGAGGAGGCCCCAGCAAAATGGAAGATTTCGGGGGGGGGGGCCTTATGCCCCCCCCCCCCCCCTTGGCTACGTGCCTGACGAGAAGGGGTATTGGTAGTTTTACATATTTATAAAAAGGTGTAGCGCATTATCACACGTTTTAAAAAACGTGTTTAAAAAATCACTCATTTTTAAAGGTGTGAGGTTTACATTTTTTATAAGGTCTATTGCTACACTTATTAGGGTGTTGGTTATGGGACACCCCACTTAAATGTATTGCCTGACGAGAAGGGGTATTGTAGTTTTACATCTTTATAAAAAGGTGTAGTGCATTATCACACGTTTTAAGAAACGTGTTTAAAAATCACTCATTTTTAAAGGTGTAAGGTTTACATTTTTTATAAGGTCTATTGCTACACTTATTAGGGTGTTAGTTATGGGACACCCCACTTAAATGAATAGCCTGACGAGAAGGGGTATTGTAGTTTTACATCTTTATAAAAAGGTGTAGTGCATTATCACACGTTTTAAGAAACGTGTTTAAAAAATCACTCATTTTTAAAGGTGTGAGGTTTACATTTTTATAAGGTCTATTGCTACACTTATTAGGGTGCTAGTTATGGGACACCCCACTTAAATGTATAGCCTGACGAGAAGGGGTATTGTAGTTTTACATCTTTATAAAAAGGTGTAGTGCATTATCACACGTTTTAAGAAACGTGTTTAAAAAAATCACTCATTTTTAAAGGTGTGAGGTTTACATTTTTTATAAGGTCTATTGCTACACTTATTAGGGTGTTAGTTATGGGACACCCCACTTAAATGTATAGCCTGACGAGAAGGGGTATTGTAGTTTTACATCTTTATAAAAAGGTGTAGTGCATTATCACACGTTTTAAGAAACGTGTTTTAACAATCACATTTTCAAAGGTGTGAGGTTTACATTTCTTTTATAAGGTCCATCGCTACACTTATTAGGGTGTTAGTTATGGACACCCCACTTACATGTATAAAGGTGTGAAAATGTTTAAGGTGTATGTACCTCTAACGGAAGACAATCTCTTTCATGTGATTACACCGCGTGCCGATGAAACGATCTGTCGATGACACGTCGTTCGATGAACTGATTTGACCGCCAATGAGTGACGACTGCCAGTGGAATTTCGGGGAAATAATTCTGCCGGCTGCCGGGAAACTTGACCTTACCCAAGAATTACCCCGGTTCTTGTTTGCTTCCCAACATTCTGAATTGTATACCACCTTATTAGTACCTCTTCGAATATTACAAAAAAAGAAAAAACGATGGCAGCCGCAAAAACTTTGACAGCCCGGCTCACAGTCATGTGGGAGACTGACAGGTGCTCGTCAGTCGCCACCATGCCTTGAAAGCTACCGGTTCCGAAGAACCGGAGCGCGCAGAGAACTTGTTCCACGGTCCGAGGCGGCGAACGAAGCTCGTCGAAGAGTCAACGCACAACGGCTTTCGATAGCCGGTACTGCCGCCGAAAGTCGTCGTCGGTTAGTTGAGAGGCGTCCCCGGTGGTCTCGGTAGCGACGCCGACGGTGGCGGAAAATAAGCTCGGCCGCAGCGCACGGCACCGCCATCTTGACAAAGTTTAACTTCACCTCGATCCGAAGCGAAGATCTCGAGCTCAAACCACGGCTCTCGCAAAGTTCGGAAACGTCACTTTGACGTCAGTGACAACTTCGACAAACGAGGTTTCTTTTTTACATAAACTTCGGAGGGATTTTGAGCGTCAGCAGGTCGCCTAGGGACAATCTGCAAAGCATTAATTTTAGCTTGGCGTAGGGATGTACGGACAAATGGGCGCTACGTCATCGGCGAAGCCGTTCGATCAGAGGGCTCCTCGCGCCCCTCACGCGCCGCACGCGCGCCTCGATGAACTTTGCTAC